TTTTCAGTTTCAACTTTCGGTGTGAGAAGGTTTCTTTTTAACCGGTTTTCTATACAGAATTTTTAGGATTTTTTGAATATCTCAAGCAGGAAAGCATATTTGTCGAGGAGTCGTTATGTGAGTGGATGAAAACTGGAGTTTTCCCATAGAAGAACATCTCAGAAAATTCTGGGCAAAAATATCTGGATTTTCTTTTTCGATGTTCCATCTCTGCTATAAATTTGAGCTCGATCGGATGTGTGCTCTGCATTTGACAACAGAGTGAAAAAAGAAGAGGAGGAGGGTACCCTTAAGAAAAAACAGAAAATAAATAAACAACAGTAACAAATTCATCTTCTTCGTTCAGTTCTTTTTCGGAAAGAGAAGCCGACATAACTTGGAACTTGGGGCGACAGATACCTTCTGTTCTTTTCTGAAAAGTAAGGTCTTATGGAGTTATCTTCAGCGCATTCAGCTTTAGTTGAATTCATGACTATATGTTAAATGACACCCATACTCACCGACTGAAGAAAATTTTTCCTTCAATCAGAAAAATTTCTGCACCACAAAACAGATTGCTCTAATTTCTCAGCAAATGAGAAGATTCTATCGAAGTAATAATAGTGGCTACAAAAAAATTTCAGTCATGTCGAGACTCGAAACGACAGTATCGAGGCTTTTGGAAACTTCTCGTTCTCGACATTTATTCACCGAAAAACTCTTGTCTGTTTTTCGTTTTTCCTCTGAACTTATCTTTAAATTTCTTTCTTTACAGTTCACTCTATTTCAAGCTTATCTATAACCGTTAAAGATAAATATAACCTTGAGGTTTGCACATCTCTCGAAGTAGACAAGAATTTTCAAAATAATTCTGTTTGAAAAAAAAATATCATAGATTTTCTAAATCTGAGACTCAGTAAAATGGAAACGGTGATCAATATCGATGATTTTCCGTCTTTTTTCAGTTGGTGTATTTCTGAAAAACTGAAAAGAAACATAGCGTTTTCTACGTTTTTGAAAAACGTAATTTCTGAACTAAAATAATTGAATTATGACACCGAGTACTCGTTTTCTGTTGAAAAGTAGTAGCTATTATGTTTTATTGTCTATATCTTGACAAACTCAAATGAGTTCTTCGACTAGTTTTGTAAAAAAACGAAGAATACGATATATTTTAGTGTGCACTTGCATTTCTTTACTGAATGTCGCTATACTTTCATGTATTAAAATGCATGTAATATTTAATAGTTCTCTTTCTTTTGCGATGAAAAACATGAAAAAAGAGCGCATTGAATACTAATAACAAATATTTATACAGTGAAAGACTAATAAAATACTACAGCAGTAACTAAAGAAAAAGAGCGTTTATCGACCATGAATCAGAATCGAGAAAAAAGGAACAAAGAAAACGTATCTTTGATTTGTGTGACAGGTATGTTTTGTGTTCTATAATATAACATGTGATTATTCAGGGATAAAATAATATTTTTTTGTACAGAATATCTGAAAAAATGTCTTTTGACTCTGAAATTTCTTGAAAAAGATAAATTTTAAAATTTCAATAAGTTGATGATAAAAAATGAATGTTTTTAATATAGGGTATTTATATAGTCTTTATTCTCTGGTGGTGGTAGAAATACTTTCTAGGGTTCGAATTCGACTACGAAACCTATCGAGTTTTTCAAATTTTCTTTAATGACGTTTTCCTCTTTTCTTATAAAATAGTCAACAACTAAATTTGATCATTTTTAAAGTGTTCTTTAAGAAAACAAACAGGAAACATCAATTCTACAAGTATTTTTGGACTTTTTACGTCAGAAAATCTCAATCTTTTAGCTGATTGTTGGATGTCTGGTCGAGCTCGAGTGTCACAAAGGAGCATCAGATAGGATCCGGTATATTAAGTCCAAACCGCGCATCACTTTAATATGGATCGATAGTTACGTTACCTAATACCGATGTGTCTTAGCACATGATGGACTTTTTTGTAGTGACTTTGAATCTTGTAAGCAGCGTTCGTCGGCGAGAAAAGCACGGTGACCAGAATTAAACACGCGTATACGAACAGTACTAATAGCTTACTTGGCACTAATGCTACAGTCAGACGGATTAGTACAAGTTTTGTAAAATATGGTAGTGTAAATGCATTGTGTTATTATTGTTATACTAGTTTAATTTAGAACCAAGATTTTACAACATATGTCAAGAAGTGTACTTCTCGCAGATATAGCAGTTAAAATAATTCATCATTTTAAAATTGAAAAATAAATATCAGCATCTGGATCTTTTACATTTGAATACTCCTTAGCAGTTTTTATTGCAAGAGGGAAAAAGTACCACTTCGCCACTTCATTTCAGTTCACATAAAACTCACTTCACTTCTAGTCAAGGCAATTTGTGACTTTGTTGTTTCATTGATTGTTTCCGATCTTTTATTTTTTACTTTTTGTCGTTGCATGAAATTTTTACCTGACAAATCGATTTATTGCCCCGCTCTCAGTTTTATTTATTACATGCATGCAAGGTAGATTAAACATATTTAATCGCTATAGCGCTTAAACTTTGCTTTTCTCCACGCTAAGCAAAAATATCTCGACCAGCATCTCTAATTTATTTACTCATTTCTATGTTCTACATTTTCACTTCACTAGTTCACTTCATGAACACTTCAAAATCACTTCCAGTTCACTTCAACTGAAGTAGTGATTTTTTCCCATTTGTTTATTGTAAAGTACAGAGCGAGATAGAATCTTTCACATTAGATGAATAGTTCTGGTCACTGTTGCGAAAAAAGTCACGTTTTTAATATAATCATATATTTTAAAGAATGATGCTGAAAAAACTTCCTATGTGTATCAAATCGGCAAAAAACCGCCAATTAACCTCCGTTAACCGTCCGGTTGAGTGTGCGCTTTACCATCCAGTTAATCGTGAACCGGCACAAAATGCTCAGTTAACCGTGGTTAATTGACTGTGTTTTTGCTAGCAAGCGATATGAGTACAAATTCTCTCCTGAGCATTTTTTCATTTTTCGGGTGTGTGTTCATGTGTTCCATGTAGTAAAACTGTCGGTTAGTCAAAGTCTATACTGGTGAAATTTTAAACTGAACAGTACCTGTCCGCTTGCCAGGACTCTTAGATGCAGTCCGAAAGATATTTAGTCTAAGTCGAAGTTCACACTTCAAGAAGTCATGAAAAAAATTCTGAAGTTTTTCGATAAATCATGTTGTCCTTATATACATATATTGACCACAAAATAAAACGGTGATTGAGAAAGGAACGGTTAACTGTCGATTCTCCGAAATAATGTGGTCAGTTGACGCTTAATTCTCCAAACCGCGGTATCAAAAATACCGGCGATTAATTAACGGGTTTACAGCGAACTGTGGTCAATTGGCGGTTATTTGAAGAACCACGGTTAACCGACGGTTTTCTATAAAAATAGGCGATGTGGGTCTGTATGTCCATCCTCTGTTGCTATTTACTTATCTTTTTTTCTTCGACTCTGAAACCGGTTGGACATAATGAAATTATTGTGCATCCTACTACTGCATATTCTGCATAGATTCATAACCCTAACAAATATAAATATTTCCTTCAGAAAATTCAGTTTTATCTTGAAGTCATAATTTTGTTCGAATTTTTGTAGAAAAGTCGAGAAACTTCATTCTTCGCAGACTTAGCAACTTCTCTCGGAAGGTTAAATGAATCGCACATTCTAGTTCAATATTTTCTATAAAAGACGGATAAAATAAGCAACACATCAAAAACAAATCTGATGTTACTTTTCTTTTCGCCGTGACAGAGGACTGTATGTTTACTTTGTGAGAAAAAAGTTCCGTTTAATTAATGCTTGTGTGACGTTTTGATGTCAGAAATATCATACGATAGTACCCGCACATGTGTTTAGCTTTTCATTTTCTTTTTAAAAAGAAATTTTAAATTTTTCATCGACGCTTTATATCGAAGTTAGAAGAATACAAAAGAATTCCTATTTTTTAGCATACGAAGCAATCAATTTCTTCAAGACTTTTTTCCTTCTGTTGAGACTTGAGGGTGAATTTATAATGCAAATGATTAGTTGATTTTACAAAAGGTATCATTCAAACGTGATCTTTGAAATACGGCAGTTGTACCACAAAACGTACTTAGTCGTTCTACGGCTGTTTTAAATAATCCATCAGATAGATCATGGAGGACTGAGCAAGAGTATCCCGCCATTTTTAGCCTCCATCATGATAATTCTTGAGATTCTTATTTGATTATGCTGTTATAGAATACTGTTCAACTAATGTCAACATATCTGATCAGATGACTATAAATATATTATTTTTTTAGTTTCTTAGCTTTCGAAAACTAAAATACTGAACAATCAGTTCTAGGCATGCTCTAGTTATGGACCAGTTATTTCCGACAGTTTTTTGGACATTCAGAAAAATTGTTGTAACACGGTTATTAGGAGTTGCTCAGGCGTACGGGACATCTCATTTTTAGACAAATGTTTGTTCTAAGCTAAAATTAACAGCTGGAAAGTGGGAAGCGTTTTTTAAGGGATCACTGAAGAGGCACGAACGATTATTTAACTGGTGATCAGTTATGACATTTAAGAATGCTCATATTTTTTACAATTAACTCGTAAACTTTTTTCATTTCAACAAATAGGTAGAACAAACATTTGTCTACAAAATTAGACGTTCCACAAGTTCGTGCAATTCTTAATAACACCGTTACAAGAACTTTTCTGAATGTCCTAATATCAGTTATATAACTGATGTACGCTTACATGAGAGAAATGAACTCTCTCATCGTTGTATATTCATATGCACTGACTATCTAGAACAAATAACACTTTTTGACGTTCTTTTTATTCAAGACTGAGAAATTCATACATGATTAAGCTAAGGTTGAAATTCTGATCAATACTGTATACCTTTTTTAAGAGAAATTTAAATATCCTTTTTGAAATACTAATAAAACTGTTTGTCTTTGGATCCTCTATATATTTTTTTAAATCTTTTTAGATGTATTGCGCATGCAAGATCTATCTTATTACAAATTTAGTTTACGTTTGTATTGCGCTAGATGCTCCATTCGATAATGTCAATACATCAATAACAGCTGGTGCACTTATTTGTATCTTTGGTATTGTGGCTATTTTAATTGTTGGTGGAATAATTTGGTACTTTCTAAAATATTATAAAAAAAGACCCGCATCATCAGTTATTGTTAGTAAAGATAAACAATCACAAGATTTTTATACTGAGAGATTTTAAGCAAATTCTATTCTATGGTCAGATCACTACTACTTTGTTTTAAATTATATGTCATATGACATTATCATTATATGTGTTTCCAACAAACAAAGACTTATAGTCTACTGGATGCAAAGAGATTAAAGATGATATTATAAACTATATTAAACATTAATAAAACAGAGAAAAATTTTGCTCAATGTTCAAAGTATACTCTTAAGACTGTATTTAGAGTTTAGATACAAAAATTCCTTCTGTATAGAATTAAACATTATATTTTAAAATTTATTGTTTAATCAAAATCATTTCATTTAGTGATTTGTCACTGTTAAATACAATACACTTTCATGTCTATATTTTCAAGCACATATTGATAGCTGCAATTAATACGTCACTCTTTTCAGCTAGAAGGACTCCGATCGTCCACTATTATATCGAATCGTCATCTGTGGTCACCCATTCTACATATTTTAGTTCTTTCCACAGCGATACATCTAAAAATACAGTCAGTACTCCTCAAAAGTAGCGGGCCCCTGTGACTTAAGAACCATGATAGCTAAGGACTTCTAATCTTGTGTGATCATAGCTCTTACCGAATGCCACTTTTACTAGATGGTTCGTGAGATATATAACTTCTTTTCAGTAAAATGCAAATAACTCCTGATCCAAGAGAGATGAAAATTTTTTCGGTGGTAAACAGCTGGATTTACATTCGACAATTTTTGGTGTCTAATATATCTTAAATCGGATCGGTCTCCTAGATTAAAATAATAATTTTTGTTAAAAATATTGTTTCCAAATGATCAAATAGTCTGAAGTTTCAGACTAACAGGTTAGACTTTTCTAGGGTTTTAGACTACCTTTACATCTCCGAGACTTTGCATAACCGAAAACCATCAGATAAAGTAATAATAAATAATACAGTACTCCTCAAAAGTAGCGGGCCCCTGTGACTTAAGAACCATGATAGCTGAAGACTTTTAATCTTGTGTGATCATAGCTCTTACCGAATCTGATCATCCACCAAGTTTGAGCCTCTTTTACTAGATAGTTCGTGAGATATAAGCGTTTTACTCCTTTTCAGTAAAATGCAAATAACTCCTGATCCAAGAGAGATGAAAATTTTTTCTTTTTACCAAAATGTAGTCCTAATCCTCCTCTATTCATAATTTGAATTTAGAACGATAACTGTTGATGGTTACTGAAAGACAGCTATTTGATGATCGAGGTCTCTGGAAATGAGGTTCTGAGATATGAGGTCTTTCCAAGAAAAATTCAGAACTCATTTCAGGAGCTTCAATTCGACTTCAAACTCACAGCAAATACTCTTCGACGACTGTAGACTATCCAATCAACGTATGAAGGTTAACTATTGTGCGGTTCTGGAAATTCATTGAGAACGAGTACGGACGATCGAAACATACGTAGCAGAGCGAGGTTGAGAAACTAAGGGTCACTCTTTCGACTATAGAATCTGCATCCAATGCGCATCATAATTTTGAAAAAATAATCATCGAAATCTATGGTTCCGAAAAAAGTAGATGAAACTTTTGTTAGAAAAATTACACACTGACCTCTGACCTTCGCAGTTTCATTTATTTTGCATCCTTTTCACTTTCCTTCTATTTTCAAGCAAAACTAATGATATATTTGGGTCAGCGAACAAAACTGAGTCGAATAGCATACTTAACATTTGTTTTTCAAACAAAAAAAATTTCATTGGAAATTTTCTCTCTAGGTTAATGGTGAGTGTATAACCTTTCTAACAAAAGTTTCATCTACTTTTTTCGGAACCATAGATTTCGATGATTATTTTTTCAAAATTATGATGCGCATTGGATGCAGATTCTCGTTCTCAATGAATTTCCAGAACCGCACAATAGTTAACCTTCATACGTTGATTGGATAGTCTACAGTCGTCGAAGAGTATTTGCTGTGAGTTTGAAGTCAAATTGAAGTTCCTGAAATGAGCTCTGAATTTTTCTTGGAAAGACCTCATATCTCAGAACCTCATTTCCGGAGACCTCGATCGTCAAATAGCTGTCTTTCGAATTATCGAATGTAAATCCAGCTGTTTACCACCGATTTCAAGTGATTGCTTCTCATATGTAGAACAGAAAAAACTTTGAAAGGAAAAACTGCAACATTGCATCGGTTTAGGAACACAGAAGAAAAGAGAAAATAACTTTAGTACCAAAAGAGTTTTTCAGAGATCCTGCTAGAACTTCGATCTGTGAAAATGATTTCTTGGCATTTTCATTATGTTACAATTAAAAATGCATCTCTTTTCGCTATCAAGATATTCAAAAATACTCGTCATATTTCGAAATGGATATGTAGCGCTACGCATTGCACGTTAGTTTTTGGCACGCCGTCCATATTCAAAATCAATTTGTCAGTTTTGTTGCGAATTTAATTCTCTTTATTAGCGAGGTAATAACTAACGGCTTAATAAGTTGTTTAAGTCTAAAAACGAATGATTTTTCCATTTAAAAGTTAATTATTTTTTTACAATCTGTGCTACTTTAAATTTCAATTCTACAAAGGCGAAAAGTGTCATGTTTTGCTCACATTTTCCCGCTCTTTCGTCTAATACAGAGTTCAAAATTTTAATATGTAGAACAGATGGGAAAATAATTAAATTAAAAGTACAGCCACTATGTGAGAAAAACATTTGACTTCAGTCTTTAAAAAGTTTATAACTTGAGACACTACCTGAGAAAAAAATTGAAAGCATCCTAGAAGTATGTACGAGAATCAAAGGATCATTTTTGAGAGCAAAAATCCCGTATTTTATCTGATAAAATTCGTGTTTTTACCATGTGTTTTGCCATAAATTACTGATACAAATTTGTCCACAAGATCTGACGAGAAATTTAGTCGTAATTCGAAGCTAAAATTGATCTTTTGTGTTTTTCTGTACATCTTAGAAGAAAATTATCAAGAAAGATCACAAATACAAAAATTACGGGATATTACTGGGTAGAAGAACTCGAAGAAAATATTTTTCCTTTTCGAGCATTAAAAGAATCTGAAGAACTGTTGTTCTCCCTAGAGGTGAGACAGTTCTGGTTCAGTTCTTTTAAACGGCAACTGGGCACTAGTTCAATTCTTGTTGAACGCGAACTGTTTATCAGTTCTTTTCAAAAGAACAGAAACTGTTACCAGCTTTTTCAAAATTAAAAATAAAATAAAACCGGTGAACCTAGTTACATGGACTTTATGTGGTGCGCCAGCGGTAGATGGTGCATTTAGTTGACTAAACCAAGTCAATATAACCAGCTACATCAGTTTTATTTTACTTTGAATTCTTGAAAAGAACTGTTAACGGCACCAAAACACCGTACACTTGGTTGTTTTCTTAATAACTTTTGACAGAACTGAGACAGAGGCCTGCGTTTTTCAGATTGTGAAACTATGAACCTATGAAAAAATCAGAGCTCCCGTTCCGGAGAGACAAACGTTTTCCGAGGACACACCTATCTCGTTCCAGACAAGTCTGGGAATCTTAGAAACATGTGGATCGTAGGTAATCGACCACGCTGATCATCGTGGCGATGTTTGTTTCACGCAACCCGCAACTTTAGAAAAGCCAATTTAATACAAATCCAGTTTTTCGCCTGTTACCGTCAAAAAATAAAAACCGTATATTTCACTCATATCTCGTTCAACAAGACTCGAACTATCAGGAAATAATTAGCAGAAGTCATAGAATGCAGAACTCATCGAAAAATTCGGATCTGAATTTCGGGATCTAGTGTGGTTTGGGAATGGTACGCTTTCGGGTTTTGCTTCGAGTTATACACCATGGTAAACCTGATCAGAAGCCCTGATTTTTTCATAGATTCATAGTTTCAGAATCTGAAAACGTCTATCTCATTTCTGTCAAAAGTTATTAAGAAAACAACCAAGTGCACGGTGTTTTGGCACCGATAATAATAACCAATTCCCGTTCTGTTGAATAAAACTGTACCAGTTCCCGTTCAACAAGAATTAGACTAGTGACCAGTTCTTAGGAACTATAGGAACTGGACCCGTCCCACCCCTAGTTTCTCCCGTCAGTTATTATAGGATTTGCTAGATGTTTTTCGAGTAAGAACCTTCCGAAAGTTCTAAGCAAGAATCGACCGAGTATTGTTAGAAAAAAATTAATTTTTTTCGTATATAAGAGACTTGCTTGATAGTTCTGTAGACTGTCATTTAATGGAACCCCCAACTCGGATTTTTTATGACTTTGTAGAGGACACTTTAAAGTACATATATCAAAATCATTTTCGGTTCCAGGACCAGTAGTTTTTCAGAAAAAACTTTTTTTTAAGGTGACTTCAGTTTTTTTTAGACGTAACAGATGAAGTTTGACGGAGAACTTCGAGTTCGACTTATCCGATCCATTTTTAGTGCAAAAAATATTTTTGAGAATGTTTTGCACGATACAAGCATTTTAGAAGAAAGTGTGGGAAAAAAAGTCGTTCAGGATCAAACGCTGTATGAGATGGACGAAGGAATTTTTCGCAATTCCTTAAACTCGATTTTTAAAATAAAGAATACGGTTTTAAAAATTTAGTTTAAAATTCGAGTTTTCGGAATTGCGAAAAATTCCCTCGTTCATTCCATGCAGAGTTTGAGCCTGAACAACTTTTATTCCTACACTTTCCCTTGGAAATACTTCCTTCGACCGAAACTTTAGTGAAAGCCCTGGACGATTTTGTGCTTCGGGGCTCTGAAAAACCGGTCTAAAAATCTTTATGTTTTTCGATGTTTGACACTTTTCGCCTCCAAAATCCATTCAAATCCGAATTTCTCCGAGTTCAAATCCGAGACGCTCTATCGAGTGATTACAAAATCGAGGTTTCAAACTGAAAAGCAAAAATTTTTTTAAATTTTAAAGAATGGGCAAAAAAACCAAAAAACAATGAAAAAACATATTTCTAGGTGCGTAAACCCCCACACTCTTTTCATATATATTTTGAAGTGTCGTCTACAATGGGGCAAAATGTGAACCAAATTTAAATGGGAGAAAT